GACCTCGCCCGGGCGTCGTCGCTCTCCCGCGGGAGCCCCGGATCAACCGGAGAGGATTTCCTGGAAAATCCCGGAATGTATATAGATCTGGATGTCGCGGGATTTAAGGAGGCTCCCGGGACGCGCGAGGGGGCGGCGGAACGGCGCGTCCTCTCGGAATCGTTCCGCGTCCGAACGAGTCGACCTCGTTCCCCCGATGGATGGTAGGGAGAGAATTAGGAGAGAAAGAAGCGCGCCGACGAACCAAGGGGGGGCCGTTTTAATGACTTCGATTGGCGACAATTTTTTTTTTATTCGCATCTTTCTTCGTTTTAAAGGTCGAAAGGCAAAAATCGGGGCGGGACGGAGGGCGTGCCTCCGGAGCGATCGATAAGAAATAATTTTTCAACCGAATCTTTCTTCTCAAATTGTCAAGTATTATCGATGCGATAGCAAAGAAAACTCGCTAAGAAAGTTGGAGGCGTCGCGAGATTGGTCGATCGATGGACGAGCGGTCGCCGTCCCGGCGCTCTTTCCGACCACGGTTCCAAACGATCGTCCCCCTCCTCCTTCCTTGGGTCCCGCGAATTCCCCCTTCCTCCGGGTCCGCGGAGACTCCTCTTTAATTGAAGTTCCTCGTCTCTGCATCGCAAGCTCGACAAGCTCGTCGCGCCTTCGACGCGGAGGCACGTCCCGCCGGTGCGAACCAATCGAGGTCTCTTCAACGGGCCAATTCCTCGAGACTCTTTCGAAGGGTCTCTCGAGGACCTCCCCCTCGAAATGACCAAGTTCCCGGGAGTTTCGAGAATGACGGAATTGACTCCCGACTCGCAAATCTGACGGATTCAAGGGCGTCGATATTCGAAAAGATTACTCGAACGAGAGAAAGCCTCCCTCAAATCCCAATTAAGAGTTAAATCTAAAGTACCCGACTTCCCTCTACGTGTTCTCGGCTAATTAAGTGGCGGAGAAAAATTGCGGCACTCGATTTATGCTCCAGTTATGTTCGAGTTGTCTGATAATAATTTTTTTCTCTCTCTCGCGGGCGGTTGGAGGTAATTTTCGAAGTTCCTTTTTTCCTCCTTTAGAGGAAAAACTTGGGTAGTTCCGGAAAGTATGTCCTCGTCGCCCCGTTTTCCTTTTCTTATCCCCCTCGGCCCGGAGTTGCTTAAGGGTTCGCCCAGAAGTTGCACAATGCCGGGCGGTCCACGGAAAGGAGGCTGCGGACCGAATCGAGAGGAGGCCTCCTCGCGAAGAGGAACTTCCCGATGGAGTCAATCGAATCGGGGAAACTTTAATTCCGAATTGCATATCTCCTTAAGCCCCTGCCTTCGGACGCCGCCTCGCGTTTGCATTTAAATGGATTTCGCGGGAGCGGTTCGTTTATCTCCTCTCGCCCCGAAATGGCTTGAATTTTTTTCCCGTACTTTGGAGAGAGCCCTCGTCCGGCGAAAGCGGCTCGATCGACGGAATCGCCGCAATCGCCGGCCGACTCCCACGAGAGCCGGCGGGGCCGAAGTTTCTAGGCGAGAAAAGCCGAGGCCGAAACCGCGAGTCGTAAATTTGGAGGCTCGCCACTATTTCGGCGGCCATTACGGTTATTGCCAGGTAGCTCGAGCGAGTCGCGGTTGTTTCGCCGACAACGCCGCCGGCTCTCGTGCCCGGTTAATCCGGCTAATTGCGGTTAATTAACGGTGCCTCCTCGCCGGCGACGGGGGATCGTCGCGAAAGTAGTGCGACGCGAAGTGCGCGAATTCGCGTTTCGCGTTCGCTCGTCCGCCGTGCCCGAGAGTTCCGGGCCCGGCACTTATCGCGGCCTCCCTTGCTCCGATTCTCCCGCCTTTCCCCGGGTGGCTGCTCCCGCGTGTAATTTTCATTTGGCGAGGGCGCCGCCTCGTACCACCGGTGGAATGCTTAATACGCCTAAGTGCGCGCTAGTTTTCCACCGACTCTCCGGTAGGTACCCGTCGGCCGTCCCTTCTCTTCTACGAGAAAATCCCTCGACGTCGCCATTCGAGAGAGGCGAGATGTCCGTCGTCTCGGTCTCCGGGGGGTGAACCGATGAAAATCCATTTGGCGGCAGGACCTTGGCCGCGATAATCGGTCGGTGGACGAGCGCGTTCTCCGAAGCGCCGTCTCCTCGCTTCCCGGTGACTCCCAAATGAAATAACTCGAATCCGGAACGGAAAACCCGACCCGGGAGAGGAGGAAATTGCACGCGAGCAGCTCTGCGACGTCTCGCGAGTCGCGGAAAACTTTCCCGATGATAATTTCGTCGCGCTTCCCTGTGATAAGAACGCGCGTTAATTGAAAGGAGCTTTCCTCCGTTTCGCTGAAACGAGTCGAGGGGTCTGTCATCGCCTCCCAAGGAGGATTTAAAGCCTCGGTTCGGATGGGATTTTTCAATTTACGAACGAGGTTACCTTCATTTTCAAAATTGCGACTCTCGGTTACGATAATTCTCCCAGGAACGTCGAGCGCATTCGGTATTTATTCCACCGGGATAAATTGACCTCATCGGGCTTACTTTTACAGGATGCAAATGGAAGCCGCAATTTATTCGCCGCACGTTAAATGAACATTTATTACTCGCATGCTAGAATACAGTCGTCGAGTAAATTAATTAATTAATCAATTGACCAAACGTTGAATCGATACTCCCCAAATTGGGACGTAGGAATTCATATTTGGTTGGGAACTTTCAATAAAGAATTTTCGAAAGCCGAGAATCGTTGGCGTTGGAGAATTTGGTTTCGAATTCAGAGATCGGAGGCGCCTTCTAGCGCGACGGGTCTTATTTCGCCGAGCTTATTTCTCGGTCTCGCGGAATCGGGGACGTCGGATTCGCGCCTCGCGGGTTTTACGGGCCCTCGTTTTGCCAGCGCACCGAGCTGAGAATATCTCAAAGATAAACACGAACCCCGAAAGTGCCGGCCCGATCGGACCGGGCTGCGAACGAGACGGTGGACGACTTCTTCGACGTAACCCCTCGATTCGGCTTTATCGGCGGTTCTACTGATCCGTCGAAAGGGTATTTTCGACCCTGGAATCAATTAAAATTTTTTAGCGGCAATATTACCTCCGCTAAAAAAAATGTGGGTACCGGAACGCGCATGGAACATCCCAAAGTAGGGGAGCGACCAGAAGGGAGAAGCTCAGGGAATGAAAAGGGTGCTCCTGATATAGCGTATGGTGAAAAGCGGTAGCTGAAAATAACCTCGTAAACGCTAAGCCGAAAGTGCTGGGGTAATCGGGTCAGGCCGAGAACGAGATGGCGGCATGGACCGCGTCTTCGGGTATAACCTTCACCCGGAGCATGACGTCCCGACTCCGTCCCCTCTATACCCGAACGTCTAGGACCGGCAAGACGAGAGGAAGCTTCGTAAGCGGAAGGAACGACCCCGATCCGGTGAATCGCGAAAAGCGGGTGCCGGAAATAACTTTGCCTTACGTCTCCTCTATTTTCCCGGGTTTGCGGAATTTTTTCCCGACTCGAAAACGCTGAACGCAGGAAAGAGCGATCGTATCGCATCACGGAAATCGCTCCCCTCCCGGGGCGGTTTTTTGATAAATGTCAATTTTTGACAGCACGGGTGCGTCGTTGTTCTCGAAATGAGTTTTCGAGTTTCAGGAGGCATACACGGTGAATGGGCTTGCGCCTAACAAACGGCGGAACGTACTTTTTCTCTCTCTCTCTCTCTATACCCACGGGTAGCGAAACGGTCGAACGGGACGCAAATTTCAGACAGCAATGCTCCGAATACATATGTAGGAATATGTGCACATATATATTGGGCAGCGAAAATTCCCATTGTTGAAATTTAATTATCCCCGCAATCCCCGGAGGGAATTTATCCACGTGCGGCGTTTCCTGTTGATCGGTGACACGACTCTGTCAGCTCGCACGGGACTTCGAGGCTGCTCGTTAGGATGCTTTTTACTTTTTTTCTTCTTTTTTCTTCTAACGAGTTAATTTATCAGGACAGCTCAGCGACGGTACGCGATATTAGTGCAAACGTACATTCGCGAACGGGAATCCACGCGGACGGGAAAAGTCTCAACGACGCGACCGCGTTTCCGGATTTTTCATTTCGCTTAAATTCTCACACTTTTTTTGTACAATCTGCGTATAAAGCTGTCGGTTAAATAAACCGTTCGTTAATCCCAGTCATTCCAAATTCTCTCTGGGCGCAAATTATACGAGTCTGTCAGCTTTCCGTAAAGCTCGAGTTGCAGTTGTGGTGCATCGGCTTTTATCCGGGGGAGCGCGATGTGCCCTTTTTCCACCTTTTTCGACATTTTAGTCGTTATGTCAATTGCGTATTTCTCGTTAATTGCATATACCGGCGCTCGCGATACGGTACCGAGACGATAATGAACGAAATCGGTGTAAACGCTCGCACGCGAAGAGGTACTCTCCGAAAACCTGAACTCTTGTTCCGAGAGAAAACTCGATAACTCCACTGTGCTTCTCGATAGAAACTTTTTTGCGCCGAATAGAACATTCACCGATTAAATAAAACGATTCACGGAGCAACCTCCGTCACTTTGAATTCTTGATACACGAATAACTGTAATCCGTCATTTTTCGTCGATGTTCGAGCTGCGGTCGGGATCGCTTCGTCAACTTTTATCCGACTAACGTGACGTACCTTTTTTCCTCCCTTTTTTTTTCATCGTTTTTGTCGTTAAATCGATCGTGCTTTAACGCCATCGAGCGGCCATTCGAGCTCGCGCGAGCGTTGCGAGATGAAGCGATAGCTTTTTACTGCTAATCGAACGCTACGATTTTTGTCGATTCGGTATCTACTAACGTCGTAGAGGAGATTCGATCAACTAATGTCGACTAATTGGGTCGGTCGGGCACCTTGGGACGATGTCGAAGACCCGACGAAACGCCCCGATCCTAGTCCTACCCGGGATATCCTTTAATTTCTCCCATCTTCCCTCTCGAGTCTTCGTTTAACATTTCACATATAATCCTGATTTTTAATATTTCGGATCTCTTCTCGTAATTTCAGGTGACGAAGGCGAGGCTGCACGCGGCAGCTCCCGGTCTCGCTAATAGCACCTCGGATCTCTAACCACGATGAGTCTGCATTGGGATAAGCTCTCCCCGGCGGAGTTCCAGCAGCTCCAGGACCTGGCGGCATGTAAGTGCGCTTTAATTCCACTTGCAATTTCGGGAAATAATTGTCGAGCCCTCGGACTCGTCCCCGTTGACTCGTCCCGGGATCCAGGCCGACGTCCCGTCTCTTTCGATTGACGCGCCGCGAAAATAGGACCACCTACGGGATTGCCCGATCCGGCGAGTGCATTATGACGTCAAAACCGACGAGTCGGGCCAATGGTCCCCTATTATTAGCTCGATTTATCGTCCAATATTTCCTCTCCAAACAACCCGCCGAATTCGGCCCTCTCCCGCCCCGGCCGAGAAATATATCCACCCCTTATGGCCCCCTTGGCTCTCCTCTCCGTTCCAGACTCGACCAGGAAGCTGCAGGACGTCTTGGCCGAATTCTGCGCCGCCACCACGCCGGGAGGGGTGCCCAAGTATCAGCCGGACGGGGTAAGTGCTTTCGGATTTTCGCATCTGCCGATTATCGCGGCCGTGCGGAGGAGGATCGTAATCGCAGGTGTCGGCGTATTTAGGAACTTAATTTTAGTTCGTGCAAGGTTTCCCGTTTCCCGTTGCCTTTTACTCGTTGCGCGTTGCCGTTGGATCGTTACCCCGAAATAAACGCGCACGTAGCGCCCTTAATTACCGAATTTCGGAATCGACACAAAATTTAACGACTCACCTTACGACTATTTCAGTAGATGGTACGATGTCGTTGGGGTTGCGATTTTTTTTAGGGGAGATACAGGACACACGAGAGACGACTCCGATCTAATCGTTCACGCCCTGTCGCCGCGAGAACGTAATTAAGACATTGCAAGAATCGAGAGTACCACCGCACATTTTCTATTTTTTTTTTTTTTTCGAGCAACGCGTTTTCGTCGAAAATTACTAGCTTCGCCCTATTTCCGAGCCACCACTCTTGCCGACAACCAGGACTTCGGAAAGCCCCCGAAAACATCCCTGTAACGTGATTCCGGACGCAGAGGAGGAACGGAAAAGCGGACTCGCTCCTTCCATTAAACAGCTTCCTCTTATCCAGCGAATCTATCCATCGCTTCCTCTCGTTCCCTCTTCGTTTCGATTCGGGACGGAGGAAGACTCTAAAGTCGCGGAAGAGCCACCCGACCGCGAGAGATCGCATCTCCGCATCTCTGGGGGGTGCGGTCTACCCTCGACCTCTCTTTCCGCGCCCCAAAATAGGACCGGCGGGGGAAGCGGCTCGCAAACCGATCGAGGGACCGACCGGGATACCGATCGAAGTCTCGAAACTCGAATCTCGATCCGGACTTCCGGTTTGCGGGCTCTCCGACCCGGTTCTCGAGGTCGGGCTCCGAGAGGGCGACCCCGAAATCGGCGGGATCCAGCCCAAAGGGGAAAAAAATGCCACGAGGGGTGCCGCCGACGAAGGGTGCCGTTGCCTGGTTACGTGACGTCACCTCTGACGCACTCGTATCTCCTACGTTGCCGGGCCGTGACGGAGAAACGAATGGAGAGCGAGGTCGCGAAGGGAAATGCACCGCGGACGGGCGGAACGAGAGCTTGCGTCCAGGGATATCCCGAGGACCACGAAAAAAGGGCAAGGGGTCAAAACAGCCTCGTCCTGGATAGAAAAATCGAGCTCCGGCCGCCTTTCGTCCCTCGGTCTCCTCTCGTCTTCGAGGACACCTTACTTTTCGATTTTTTCTCTCCTAGCGAATTTCATAATTTTTACCACGCAAAATTGGCTCCATCTCCCCTCCCGCCTAAATGTTCCTCGCGAGATGTTATAGAAAATTATTTTTCTAGTATAAAATAGCAGAGGTGAACGTCACCTTTATCCTTAGGGATGATCGGGGGTTACAGAGGTACCGTACCATGACAAGGGCTCGCGCAAGGGAAAAAAACGTGGGAAAACTCGATCGATGGGTCGATCGATCTTTACGAGCGTCTCGCTTCGTCGGAACTGACCTCGGCCAAGTTTCAGGGCGCCGAAGGGACGCGAAAGTTCGGCGATCGTTTTCCACCGGGAACGTGACGGGACGTCGACGACGCGACTTCGACGTCGGCGTTATACGAGGCCGCGTTACACGGAGGGGCGCCACTCCGAAATTGCCCCGCTCTCCGTAAAACAGGGTCACGAGGGGTGCCCGCGGCTGTGCACGTGCACGTGCACGGATGCATTATGCATATACACCCGCGCTCGCCCACTCGACCAATGAAAACGTCATCTAGCCCCGACGTGTCGCGGCCGCGCGAAAAACCGCTCGCGGAATCGCGACATAAAGCGGGGCTAATCGGCGGGCTTGCAATTGGCAATTTCAGGTTGCCCTCCTCGCGGTTGAATTATTGCTCAATCTTTGAATTATCTTTACGGCCACCGAGGGAAAAGTGAAGGGGTGAGAAAATGAATGGCTCGCCGGGAAGCGGCACGTGTATACGAGAAACGTTACGACCGGACCGCTAAATACCGGGGATGAAATTTCTCTACCGAGAGATCGGCGAGAAGTCAGCCGAGAAGTTCGGGCGGGCTGACGCCTCCTTGGGTGATCCACTTATCCGAGTCGCCTTCCTGCAGGAGCAATCTCGCTTATTGGTCCGCCATCCCCCTCGCGAACGGCGACAACGGCGGGTGGGTATCGGATACTTCGGTATTCGCACAAACGGGGACGCTCTTTTACTCGATACGTCTATTCGAAACGGAGTTTCCACCCTCGCGGGTCGAGGACGTTATCGCCCCTCTCCGATCGGCCAATGAAGATTTCAAAATTACGTGCGATCCCTAAAAGAGAAAAATTCATTTCGCCTGCCGGCTTGAATTTAAACGAAATCTCTTCCCCGGTTGATTTCGAAAAATATCGAGGGAAGAAATGAGCCAAAAAGAGGGATACGAATGTATCGTAATTTCCGAGTTACCGTCCGGTGACCCGTTTCTCCCCGCACGGAAAGGGAAGGGCGACTCGGGGCGACCCTTCGCCCTCGGCGTCTCGGCCCCGAATACGTAATATTTAGGCCAGGGACCCTCGTCGCCTTGCCCGGGCAGAAATTCGGGACTCCCCTCGCACCCCTCGATACTTCCCGCTCGTTTATTCGCCGACTCTCCGTGAAACGACGACGTCATCGTCTCCATAGAAACCGGGGGAGGGTCTCGCGCCCGCGACGTCATAGCTGCAGCGCGCGAGGGGTCGGTGCACCCTGCTGCACCGGCTGCATCCGCAGAATGACGTCACGGATCGAGGACGCCACCGGGGGCGGGGGTGGAAGGGAGACGGGCGGCCATCCTTTGAGCGGCCCCCCCTCTCTCTCGCCCTCCAGCCGGTCTCCGGCAGGTCGAGGATGCGGAGGACAAAGACGAAGACCGGGAGACAAAGGGTGATAAAGCCCGTTTCTTGAGCCGTCCCGGAATGTAGTTTACATCGGCGCGAGGGGGGTGCCGATTGTCTCCCTTCTTGAGAGAGACGGAAATTAATTAGCTGCTCCTTGAGCTCCAAATGGACTACCTCTTTATTTATGTTTTCACTTTTATTTCTTTCTCTTATTTCACCCCGACGCGATTTTTTTTATCACGAAGGAATAATTACTGAATATATAAAAATGATAACTATTCATTGCGGGGATTAGCCGAGGCTTATGGAGGGTTGAATGAGAATATTAAACGCGATTTAATGCGCGTTGAGAATGTCTGGGAGTTTGGGATCGCGAGAAAGGGATGGTCGTCATTTTGGACGCATCTTTCGTGGACTCCGATAAATCGCGGTCGGCCGGGCTTCGAAGTGCATCGCTACAGCGAAGGACGTGATTTACGGCGCGACGGAGACGGATAGTTTATCAAATTCGTGAATATTGAGGAGCAACGTACGTGCTCATCGGCCCAGCCAGCGGAGCATCCACGAATTATGACCGCGTGGCACTTTTCGATACCGATGGAAACTGCAATTCCGGCCTGCGACAAATGGCCGGGATTTCGATTAAAAAGGCTATAAATCCTCCCGGGAGAGGCAATGAATTGTAATCTAATCGATGCGTAGCTACGCTGACGCGGGTCGCGCGTTTACGCATTTTCTATTCGTTTCTCGGTTATCTGCGATCGTTGAAAAATATTGCAAATATTTTCCTACCAACGCCGATGCAAGTCAAGTCCCCCTCTCTCTCTCTCTCTTTCTCTCCCTCCTTTTTTCCATTACACGAGGGCAATTGTCGAGCGAAATCGCAACGGAGGGACAGAGGAAAATAGTACGGTACTTGCGATTTTCCTTTTTGAAACCTCTCTCAATCTCCGAGCACGTAAAGACGCTATTTATTCGCCGCTGCGAACGAGATGCATCGAGGGGTGGCTCGGTACAATTATTCTCGGTGTACCTCGGTGCCCCTAACCTTATCGCTCGCGACATTTTTTCGACCTCGCGGATGAATATCCTCGGCTGGGGATTTTCCCTCGTAATCCTCGGTCGCGTCCCCAGCCAATTCCACGTTTTTCGCGATTGCAGCCAATTCGGAGCGAAAAGGCGGCGCGAATTCAATGGCGCCGGGTGAATCGCATTAGACGCAAAAATCGTGGGAATTTATCCGTCGACGCAATTTTCACTTTTTCTCACTTTTCGCCGATTTTTTCCTTTCGCCCGGTGCCGGGGATAAATTTGCATTACCGTGCGGACTCGCATCGAAGCCTCCGAATTTCACGCGTTTGAAAAGGATTTTAGGGGGAACTCTTATCACCCGAGCCCGTGGCCCGAAAAACGTAATAAAAATCTGACCGACTGTCGACCGTATTCGGTGGAGGGGGAAAACTCAGGTGAAAGGAGTCTTTTCCGGTCGGAGGTAATTTTCGAGGGAGGCTTGACTTTATTTCTGACTTTTCCGGCCGAGTGGGCAGAGTGCAGAAAATGCAAAATGCGAAAGGCGAATTCGGTGGCGGGATAGCGAGAGATGCATCTATTAGCGCGGGGTTGCAGAGTGCAAACCCTCCCCGACTCCGACACAGAGGTCTTATGTACACGGGGCTAGATAACGCGGGAGAGAGAAAACTTGTATAATATAATGGAGCCGAGCCGAGGAGGGACTACACATCGGGCTGAAAAGCTTATTATGTTTGAACAGGGCGTGGGATCTCTTTATAAGAGCTTTAATTGAAGCCACCTCCACACCTCCGAGGCCTCGCAGAAAACGGCCCCGTAATGACGATCGAGCGCTCTCGGCTATTCTTGGTGCCTAAATTGTTGACACTACGCTCCACCCGCTCGGTCTAAACGCCTGTAAAACCCTGTAAAATGCTCGGAAAGGTCGGACGGCGATATCGTACATTTTGCGAAAAGGTTTCTTCCAGTTTTCGTTCCACTTGGTCCACTCGAAGCCACGACGTCGAGTGGTACAAATTTTCGTGCAAGATACATTAAGTATTGCCGAAAATAAGTTAACGAGCGGACGCCACGAAAAGTGGACAAACGTAGGCGAAATACCTGAAAATAAAAATATTACGACACGGTATAGGGAAACCTTTCAAATAAATTCGCTGAAAAAATATAGGAGAAAAAGCGTTCGGCGCGGTTTTCCGACTTTCGGGGGAATTAACGTATCCCTCCATCGACCCAATTTTTTCGGGCAACCGCGTCGCCGATATCGCGGATATCCGGGAAGGATCACCGGCCGTCAGGAAGTGATCGACAGCGTCGTCATCGAAATAGGTCGGCCGGAACTTTGTCATGATTTTCGCGAGAGTCCGACCCCCTTCGCATCCCTTGCCGGTTACTGCAGCCCTTATAACGTCCATTACGAGGCTCTCCGCGTGGGGATTTACGATGGTCGATGTTTCGACCGGGTATCCGCTCGAGCAGGAGTTTCGAGGGATTTCACCGGATAAATCTTTCGGAACACTTTGACGTTACGAATGATGCCCCCTTTTTTTCCTCCGCCGATATTTTTCGGCGTCGCGGATATTTGAAAATGTAAATTTTCTTCCGATAAAACTTGGAAAATTTTCGGACCGGAGGATGTACGCTCGCAGAGGACGATCGGACGATTCGTCAATTAATCGGGTCGCTTTCCATTTTATCACGGTTCGGTGATAAAATTTGACAAGAGTGAGCTACGCGTCCGCCCTTTTCTGGTTCCAGGATTCGTCAGGAGACTCTTTACGAGAACGATTTACGATCGGAATGCGACGTTTCGGAAACGAATTCGTTCCCGATGTCGGATAACGAAATCGTCGACCGGGGGCTCGATCGTTATAAAAAAAAAAAAATAGTTACAATTAAAACGATCCATCTACCGTGGATGGTCGAATCTTATAAAATCTTTTCCGTTTGGAAATGAAAATTGTACCTGCAGTTTCCGATAAGTTTCATTCCGAAGCTAAAGTTAGATCGACTCTTGGGAAAGGTCTCGCGGAGCGCGACATTTTAGACGCGGCTCGTCCAAAAAGAGGACAACGGAGTTATCGGGAAGAGTTCGATTCCTCGGAATCGAAGATGGAAGGGTCCGGGAACAGGAATCGGGAAAAGAGGGGAAACCGTGTTATCGAATGCCAGAGCGAACTCGGAGTGAACGGGAGAGAGGCCGCTTCTGCCGATCTGCCCCGACGATCATCGGTCAAGTCGGGATGCAACTTCCCAGTTTTTATCGGAAACGCGTTATCCGTCACGAAACGACCGCGATATTTCTTTACCGGAAATCGAATCGAACGTTAGGTAAAAAGGTAGATTTACCGCAATTTTTTACGCATTCCCTGAATTTATGTCGCGCGAAAAAAAAAAATGTGGAAACGAAGTTTTGGCGAAACGGAAAATTTGGAAAGGACGTAGAATTTCATACCAAAAGCCTCGCGCGAGGAAATGAAAACCACTTTGCTTCGGGCTGTAAATTCTTGCAAACGTCTGAACCAGACGTCGCATCTGGGTCGAATTCGATATTTTCGCAGCTCTTCGAAATTTTTCCCTCCCGGCGGAAAATGTCCCGCGAACGTCGTATCACCGGAATCGTCGCCACCCTCTGAATGGGTCTCGTCGGGGCAACTTCTGGGGAGCAGTCGATCCGGAAAGGAGCTAACGAAGTCATCGAGGAAGAGTTCCGTCCCTCGAGATCGAAGGCGGGAGTGCCCGGTCGAGAGGGAAAACGGGGCGGAAATTGGGGGAAAGGGGAAAACCGGGCGCGGGTTATCGACTAGCGGAGGGAACTAACCCACTTTTCCAGTGGCCTGTAGTCACCCCGTGACGCCTATCCCGTGACGTCACCGGCGACCCCACCGACGTCATCGGTTTCCACCCTGTGGCCATTGAGCGGCTGCTTCGTGCCACTCGGCAGCTTAATGGCCACGTTACGTCTCGTTCATTCTTCGATGTGTCTTCCTTTAGGAGCCTCTGGCGCCTCCGCGCCATCCCCCGTCCCCCATCCCTCTCTTCTCGATTCCGTTCGTCCACCTCGCGACCGATCAACGGCCCTTTGTTCCACTCGTCCGTCCTCGAGTTTATGGGAATTAAGGTCGTTAAAGCGTCGCTCGTGCGACGTTATAAAGTTAAATCCAAGCCCGACGAGGAGGGAACGGTATTTTTGGATCGCCACCCGAGCGAAGGGGGACGCGGAATAATCGGATCTGGTCGTCGAGACCCTTCGAGGAGCGGGGCGAATTTTCGTCGAGGAACGAGGACGTCCCGTCTCGAGACGACTGTCGCGAGCATTGTCGAGGGACTCGAACATCCGGGGAGACCGAAGTTAGGGAAACCGGGTTACGATTTAATACCGGATATCGCGAAACGAGGATTCCCAAGCCTCGTTAAGTCGGCTACAGACGGCGCATCGATCGCAAAGTTTCGAGGTTTCGATTTAATTGGACGCCCCGCGTCTGCGAGCGAACGGCGAGACGTCGCGCGTTAAATCGGCCCCCGACGAAATTCCACCGTTTCGCTCGATGAGTTTCCTCCTTTTTTCAGCTTATTCGGCGTTTACGCGGACCGCGAATCGCGTCCCCTATAGATTCGACTCTCGATATGCAAATTGATGCGAGATTAGCATAGCCCGGAGCCAATTGCAATTCGGGCGGGGCAACTTCCGTGAAACATCCAGAGAAGTAAATGAATCCGCCGGATTTCGTAATAATCGAGGTGACCGAGCCTAGGTGTTCGTTCGCGGATGTTTCCTACCTTCGGGGATTGAACAAATAGCGGTAATAGCGTTTAATTATACCGTTTACACGCGCGTGTCCGTATGATAAATTAATCCATCGGCTGGGCCGATTGATTCGTTATCTACTTGTCGCCTTTGTTAACCTTAATCCCGACTCGCTTGCGGCGAGGTAAATTAGAAAGAAACCGCTGGAATTTTTCGCTCGACGTCCTCCCAGCGTTCCTTCGCGTAATTCGCATCGGTATTCAAGGGAGCTTTAATAAAACCGAAGGGTCCGTAAATAATTGCCCTCTTATCGAAGCCGGGCGTTTGATAATGGCGGGCGTTGGGTAATGGGCGGAAAAATTAGGTCGGGGAATTTATCGTTGTCCACCGAGCAGTCGATGGTCCCCGGATATGGTAGCCGAGTCAATATGCATGCAAACGAGTCGCAACGAGGACGCTCTTCGAGATTGGCAAACTTTCTTCCCTCGCGAAGTTGGCACCGCCCAAGGTCGTCGAGAATCCCGCTCGAAGGAGAGATTGTCAAAGGTCAGGGAGTTTCCCCATCCCGCGGGAGTATTTTTCAAAATTAACGCCGGATGAATATTCACGAGCGCGTCGTCGGAGAGGGCAGCGCGTTAACTCGAAAATTCGTGGTGTTGCATTTTCCGCATATTTCGCATTTCCTCCGACCGGATTTTCTGGGGAAAAAAAGCGGAAAGAGTCCGGATAAAATTTGGCGAGTTCAAAACAGCTCGGTGGGCTCCCAGGAAATGACTTTCCTGCAGTCGGTTGAGGGACCAACCCGGGCTCGGCGCGAGAACTCGAACAGAGTGCTAATGAAATTAAATTTTAATTAAGGAAAGGGACTTTCCCTCCGGAAAAGAAAGAAATTTGAAGACGAAGTCGAGTACGACGCGGTCCGCGTCGAGCCGGAGATTTTGGGTAAATTTAAGTAAAATTGGGGAAAACGAATCCCGTCTATCTCGGCCGCGAAGCAAAGGACCTCGCCGCGTCCGGAGTTGCGGGGCAAGGAAAGGGGGCAGAAAAATCTAAAGCGGGAAATTAGGATTAACAGACGAGTGGGGCGCTCCATTTCCGCCGCAGACTTTACCGCCCGTAATTTCCGGACGCAGTAAAGTGTCGGATAATGCCGCGCGGCGTGGCCGCCTTTTCTCCCCGTGTACCTCCGTCCTCGCCGCACCCTCGGGCCGCGCGTAACGCCGTCTCCGTCCCACTCGCGGGATTCCGCCGGGCCCTCCTTCGGGCTGTCCGCCCCCGAGAAATAACGACGCCTCGGCTCGCAGCATCCACCGCCGCATCTCGGGAGACGTCACGAGACGTTGATCCCACGTGTCCGAGAGAGCCCACCCCCCGGGATTACCTGGATCGAGGAAAATTCTCCCGCGACGCCAGTGGCTTTCCCACCTCTCGAGGACGGAGGTCGATTCTTGAACGTTATCGCCGATTTTTCCTATCTCCCTTATCCTCTTGATGTCGGCTATTCTCTCGCCCCAAACGATCTCTGGAAGAAATCGTTTCCCTTCGTTAAATTTTTCGCTTTACCTGGAAGTTAAGACGAAGTTATCGGTCGGCCGATACGTTATTAAATGCAGAAGCGATCGGCTCGTTTAGCCCCTTGGACGAGAGCACTCGGGCGGCCCTTTCCGTGGGATGGCGCCTTTTTAAAAATTTCACCCTCCACCTCGCCCGATCGATGAAACCACCAAGGCACTGCCTTGGCCCCGCTCTATATGGAAACCAATATTTATACTCCAAAGCGCACAGCCCCTTATTTTCGCTAAAATATTAACCTCGACAAAGACTCCTCGGGCGAGCTTTGTCGTTATTCCGTAATACGGCAAGACGACGTACTTTGCCGAGGCGATATAACAACTTGGCGACACAGAGAACAAATTTCCCTTTGACGAGCAATCGCTGCGGTTCAACGTTTTCTCATTTTTTATGAGCTCGCTCCCGACACGAATTTCAAATTTCGCATTTTAATCGGACGACGGAGAGATCATCGACCGATATTCGATTAAATTTTCCTCCCTCGAGAGAAGAAATACATAGAGGTTTCGGTTATCCTCTCCGGTCCTATCGGAGATAGACGTTTATCGATCGAGCGAGAGCTCTCGCTGCGCTAGGGGGAACGGTTTCCGGCCGATCATAACCAGTGAAAACGTCTTTTCGATCCCCAGGATATCGACTACGACGGCTTCCGGAAATTCTTGGACACTTACCTCGAGGTGGGAACTCCGGACGAGCTCTCGAGGCACCTCTTCCTCTCCTTCGTGAGGAAGGGACCCCGCGGCGTCGACGGGAAGGCGTTCAAGGTGAGACCACCGACGAGGAGCCGGACCTAACCATCTCGTAACCGATTACTTGCCTTGGCTCCAAATTTTCTGCCGCGTTCATATCACCCTTTCGAGGCAACATTCTCCAAGTGGAACCTCGTAAACCCTTATCCTTGTCCCGCAGGAGATGGCCGTGCTGTCGTCGACGACGGCCTGCGCCGCCATCACCTCGCACACGACTTCCAGCAGCAACGTCAACAGCACGGGGCTTCTCGGGGGTGGTACTTCCGAAAGTCACGGAGGAAGCTCCCTGGCCGACAAGATCCACGGCCTGACGGAAAAGCTGCAAGCTCTGGGCCATCACCGAACCGACAGCGAGGCTTCGGGGCGCGCCAGAACAGGTGCCCCTCATACCACGTCAGATCGCCTAGACCAGTTTTCTGTTAAACCTAAAAGATGAATAATATTCGGATAATAATACTTGGACACGTTTTCATGAATCGAGACGCTTAGGTATAATAACCATTTATGAGAACGGGGGGACTAACTTTTCTCCTGGATGAAAATAGCGTGGAAATAAATCTGGGTACCATTTTCAGGGAGCGTGCATCCCATGCTGACGGTGACCCATACGTCGTACAGTTGCCACGACGTCCTGGAGAAGAAGAGCACCGACAGCAGTCCCAGCCACAGCCAAATGTCGCGGAACTCCTCCAGGAAGTCCAACAATTCCCTGCTCATCAACAACGGGAAATTGGAAGGTGGGCTGTGGCCGTAATTAGTTCGCAATTGGGCCACGGTACTCGCCACTTGCAAGATTTCGTGGGCCATGGTTCCCTGGGGGTTTCGAGCTGACCGCTTTTGAGGGCTTCGACTACCCGACCTCTTCTCGGGTGGGCCTAACGCGGCCCCGTCATCGTTCTCGAACGGATTAATCGCGAATTCGTTCGCTCGCGGGAACGCTCCTTGCCCCTACGAAATGGCTTCCCGGGGAAGTCTCGTTTCTCCTCGGATCCATAAAAAGCCTTTACCATCGTTCGTCCCTTTCTTTCTCCGGACCCGCGGGCGGAAACGCTCCGTCGATCGAAAAAGAAGGCGAGAGGAGCAGCCACCCGATGAGAATTGATCTTATTGCCCCGGATGTATAGACATGGTAAACGATTCCGTCCTGTAAACCGGAATGTCGGTATACGACGGGCTCACCGGAAGTGCCCTTCGATCGCGACAACCCCTCGACGTCATTCCGGAAACGACGTCGTAAGCAGCAATCGCAAAACAGCTGATACGCGCACCTCCGGTGTTCCGGATTCCTCGATGATACGATTACGGAGGGAAACGCTCGGAAAGAATTACAAAGTGCTCATGGTAATTTTACGCGATATTTTAACAAAGCCGGAGGGCTCGCGGAAATTGATTATGTATCGAGTTCGCGCGAAGGTCCGAGAAACGCGATTTTTCGTTTGTTCGGATAATAGTCTTCTCTTCTCGTTGAATTCTGTACCGAGCGGAGCCAATTGAAGCATTGAAGCATAATTATATAATCCTCGACAAAACTCTTCCCGGCTCGCGATAATATTAATTAGACTCCACCCCGGGCTTTGTAAATTTAATTCAATTACGTCTCGTTTAAACGAAATCGCCAATTTCTCGCGACCTCGCGGGGAGACGATTAAATTATTGCAAAATTATTTGGAGTTCTCGTTGAACGGCAATGGGGGGCCTTTTGAGACGATTTCAAGCGAGAGTGGTTAAATCAAAGATTCATGGCAGTGATGGGTTTTGAGAAGCCCGATTATTCGGAGGGATTTATTTTCATAGAGGTGCACGAAGGTCGGCCGATTGACGGATCGCTGGGGCAAAAATGCGGAAGAGCAGAAAGAGCGCATTTCGTGCAATTCCGAAGGGTCCGAATTTTCGGAAGATCGATCGGCCCGACCGGCCGGGAAATCAAAAGCGTTTGTCATCGTCGCAGCTTAATGTCCTAAGCTCGGAACTTCGGACATTAAATCAAACCGCTGAATAGGGCCGACTACATAGAGAGCACATATAGGGAACACATACGGAGTATATAGCTACGTATGTAGAAATACCGTGCGTAAATGGAGCCTCCCCCCAGAATTCCCTAAAGTTGCCTAAGAATAGAACCCACCGGATGCGAAGAAAACCCGATTCGTTAATTGCCCCGGCTAATGGACATCGAATAATTAATTATCGCCCTCGCATCTCTCCTGAAAGCCAATATTTAGAAATACGAAGAGTACCCCACATTCGAGGGCGATATTCGGTGCGACCGAATCGCGGTTCTCCTCCTTTTTGGTGAAAAAGATTAAATCGATATTAGAGATTTTGCAAATGGTGCAGCTTTCCGAGTTAAGGGAGATTTCGCTTTTTGAGCAGATTTCTCTTGGGCGTCAGCACTGGATTAGCACTTTTTTTCTCCGTAAGCTCGAAAGCTCGAGCAAGGTTCCGCGGGGTGCGTCATCGATGCGGATCCGGATTTTCCGGAAAGACCGCGGCAATTTCCGTCGCGGTTCCATTCGCTTCGGAGGGCTTGATTAACGAGGGCATAAACGCGGAACGTCAACGAAAGCCTTCGAGGAGACGAATCTGCGTCATCGCGGTCGCGGAAAGGCACAAAGCCCCCGAAAATCGAGGAATCGGCGCAAAGAGTATACGTTCCGCGCGTAAAGCTCGCGTTTCGAGCTCGAGCCACGTCGTAAGGTTTATTCCGGGGCCGCGGGTTTACTCTACCCGCGGGACTGCAAAATCTCGATATCGCGCGAGCTTTTAATACCTTAAGGCAATGCAACGTCCGATTTGCGGAGCCCGAATCCCCGCGATTACTCGGGAGTTGATTCGCGGTTACCCGGAAATCGTTGGAAACAACGGAAAAATCTTGCTCGAGTCGTAACATCGATCGATCGAAGGGGTATCGCCTTCCTCGCTTCTGGCGACTCAAGAAGCCCGGACTATATATACACCCCGAAAAGTAGTTCCACCGACGCGAGCTCACCTCGTCTCGACTGGGAGGAGACGAATCTGCGTCATCGCGATCCCGGAAGCGGCGATCGGGAAAGCTCAAAGCCCGGATCGGGATCGGCGCCCAGAGTACACATCGCTCATGGAGCTTACGCGCAAAGTTCAAGCCGCGTCGTCCGGTTTATTCCTGGCCGCGGGTTTACGCGCGGAAACCCGAAAACATCGGGATGTATACGAGTGGAGGTATATGTATACGCAAGCGGAGACCTTTCCTCCGGCGCTAGCGTCTCGAAATTAAATCATCCCTCCTCCCTCGGGGAAAGAATATATATCCGGGCCACTAAATCACGACCCAAGACCTCTTCTTCCGCGGTTCGATTAGTAAATAAACCGGACACCGCCTACTCCCCCGGAATCCCCGCTCGAGAGCGACTTTTTCGTCTCCTCTTTTTTCATATATTATTTTCCGGCAATATTCGGATTCACGGATCCGCGTCTGTCGCCAACACGGAAATAGACCCGCCACCCGAGTCCCTCGATGACGTTTCCACGTCCACGGCCAGTTAGGAGTCTGCCGACGGTCTGGCAGCAGTCGCCGTTGCGTTTTCCGCCGAGCAACGAGGGCGGAATACTTCCCTCCGCGTGTCGCCGTTAAACGGCTCTTTCGCGACGATCGTTGTCGCACCGACAATGTTGGCGGGGAAAATCTTCTACACTCGGCGTCGCACGTACACTTCGACGAGTACTCGAGGACGATCTCGATGAAATCCACGATCCACTCGTTCAACGGCAATCGCTGCCGATACTCGAGAGTCCCCGTCGCGAGATCGCGCGGGAATTTACTTCGCTAAAAGGAAAGGCAATTTGATCGAGAGACGCAACGACGGGTTCGCGATTGGCCGTTGCCGACGACAAGGTAATATCAATCGACTAAAAAAAAAAATATAGGAAGAATCTTTCCACGAGGCGACGGAAAGTCGATTAAGTCGCGTCGTTTCGTTTGTCAATTAATGGAAACGTTACCGTCGAATTGACGGGTGAAATAACGCCGTTGACCAGCCCGAAACGAGTCGGATGTATCTTTAGTCACTCCGTTTAGACCGGTCGATGCATTCGACGTCCGCGAAGCCGACCTGCAGCCCGATGCAACAGGTGAATCGCGAGTTAAGTTTACCTCGGGGAAACCGGTGCCAATCGAGAGCGGATTCGCCGGAGTTGGTCCTACATCCCTCGGGTGCGCGTGAATTTTCACCTGGATTTTCACCTGGGTTTTCCAGAGATGCGACACCTGGTCCGGAAGCAGAGCACGATAGACGTCCATTCCGTCAAAGTTAGCCTGAAGGACATCGTCTGCTACTTGTCCCTCCTGGAGGCCGGAAGACCCGAGGACAAGTTGGAGTGTGAGTACTCGTCCGGAATAAACGTCGAAAATTCGGGTCGCGACTCGTTGCATCCAATCGATGAAGCATCGATCCCCATAATTTTTCAGTCATGTTCCGGCTGTACGACACGGATGGCAACGGAGTCCTGGACACGAATGTGAGTATCGTCGAAACTGGCGACCCTTTCCGGCGTTCCACGGACCTTCCGGAAACCACTGATAGAAAAAATGTCAATGGGGCGCTTTGCGTTTCGTCGACGACGCCGGAACTGAACTCGACGGCGACCTTCCGGGGCGACGACGTCGCCGTAAAGATGACGAGACGGCGTATCTTCCCGCGGGATTTTACGATGAATAATTGCAGGACGAGCCGCGATAAGGGGGCCGTAAACTCGTACGGGCGCGGGCACACTCGCGAGTCGCCATGTAAATATTGGAGGGACTTCCGCACACGCATTCGCAAAGTGCATCCGCACCTCGTGCCGTGGTAAATGGCGCTAGACGGAAGCACGGTGTTACGTCCTTAAGATAACATTGTCGCGGATCCCCCTTTCGTATGTACTCGAGTTTACGTGAAGACCGGCGAAGGTGTTTCCGCCAGCTCCTACAGGGTGAGTCATGTGCAGTTTGTTCGAGAAGTACCTATAATATTTCCTCGAGTATCGATGACGCGGGGAATGGAGACGAGCGAGAGAAAGAACCCAAAAACGATCTCTTCAATTTTTTAAGGAAGACGGACTGACGCGAGATCGACGGTTCGAAATATATTTCTCGTACGGACTCCGGATTGACTCGCCCTGGGTATCGACGTACGTCTCGTTCGCGTCCCTAAGGAAAAGGCGATTTAACGCGATTTAAAGCGAAGGCGACAACGTCCCTTTAAATACACCAAGCTGGATCTCGTAAACGCGCCGATGGACTACTTTGCTCCGAGATCCAATGGCCGGAAATAAAAGCGCCTTTACGCCTTCGACGAGTGTAGCGGACATTTCTGCACCCGATACGGGACTTTAATGGCAAATCTCGCGTCGCTTTCTTTCCAGGAGATGGACTGCATCGTTAACCAGATGATGAACGTGGCGGAGTACCTCGGCTGGGACGTCACCGAACTGAAACCGGTGAGTGGCTCTTGAAATTCCCACTTTTGACTCCGACGATTTTGAGGCCTCGGCGGAAATTAATCTCGATGTCGCGCCTTTTTCAGATCCTCCAGGACATGATGATAGAGATCGACTACGACGCCGATGGCACGGTGTCCTTGGAAGAATGGAAAAGAGGAGGCTTGACCACGATCCCCTTGCTGGTGCTCCTTGGACTGGACTCGCACGTCAAGGAGGACGGAAATCATCTCTGGAGGTTGAAGCACTTCAGCAAGCCTGCCTACTGCAACCTCTGTCTCAACATGCTCGTGGGCTTGGGAAAGAAGGGTCTCTGTTGTGTCTGTAAGTGAAACGTGGTCCTGCGAATTAATTGTAATTTCAGAAGAAAAAAACCGTGTAATTTTTTCAGTTTGCAAGTATACCGTCCACGAGAGGTGCGTTCAACGTGCCCCAGCTTCGTGCATAGCGACATACGTGAAGAGCAAAAAAACCTCGCAAACGATGGCGCACCATTGGGTGGAGGGGAATTGTCACGGGAAATGCTCCAAATGCAGAAAGACAATCAAGAGTTACAACGGTATCACGGGGTTGCACTGTCGGTGGTGCCAGTTGACGGTAAGCGAAGTAGCTAATTAAAATTGCATCGGACGATTGGAGCACGTTTCCCGATCCTTTAATTTCTATTCGAATCTCCAGCTGCACAACAGGTGCGTCTCCCAGGTAAGGGCGGAGTGCAGCCTCGGGGAACACGCGGTGCACATCCTGCCTCCGACGGCGATTTGTCCCGTCGTGCTGGACAGACAGAGGTCCCTGTCGAGAGACAGCAAGAGGGGCAGCAAACACGGCCCCGATAGCTCGTCGATTGGCTCCGTAAGTATCGAGAACCTCTGGGGAAGTTCGAAGAGTCAAAGGGTCCTGTCCAACGCCTGGAAAAAAAATCCTACCGGAATCGCGAACGATCGGAGTGAACTGACTGATTCGAATTTCAGATCGACCGCCTTGCCTGTCCCGATCAGCCTGGTCAGGCGGACGCCTTATCGCCGCGACAGAGTACTCATTTCTCGGCAAGTTCTTCGTCGAACCAGCAGCCCGCCATGTCCTTCCAAATCACGCCCCCGTCGGGGACCACGCCGCTCCTGGTCTTCATCAATCCGAAATCCGGTGGGAGGCAGGGAGAGAGGATGCTCAGAAAATTTCAGTACATCCTGAATCCGCGGCAGGTCCACAATCTGGCGATCGGCGGCCCCATGCAGGGTCTTCAGATGTTCAAAGACGTGGAGAACTTCAAGGTGATCTGTTGCGGAGGCGACGGCACCGTGGGCTGGGTCCTAGAGACGATGGGTAAATTTTTCACCGGACTGTCGATCAAAAGTATTATCGAAACGCGATAATATTCGTCGATTTTTCGACAGATCGGGTCCAGTTCGAGCATCAACCTGCCGTTGGAGTGATTCCTCTTGGAACGGGGAACGACCTGGCCAGGTGTCTTCGCTGGGGTGGAGGGTACGAGGGAGAGGCCGTTCATAAAGTCCTCAAGGTGACGAAAAATTCCATTGGCCCTCGAATATACGTTTTGGTTTTCCGATGCATCATCGATGACGCTTCCGAACGGTTCGATGGATCGATAATTAATTTTTTCCGTAATTTAGAAAATAGAGAAAGCCGCGCCGGTCATGATGGACCGATGGCAGATCGACGTGATCGACCATCAGGACGAGAAGAAGCCCAACCAGGACACCATCCCTTACAATATCATTAACAATTATTTCTCGGTCGGGGTCGACGCGGCCATCTGCGTCAAGTTCCACATGGAGAGGGAAAAGAACCCAGAAAAATTCAACAGCAGGATGAAAAACAAACTCTGGTACTTCGAGTATGCGACAACCGAGCAGTTCGCGGCGAGCTGCAAGAACCTTCACGAAGATCTCGAAATTGTCGTAAGTGCCCTCCCTGGTAGTCGCCGAAAAAGCGACAAGGAAAAAAGACAAGTTAAGTCCATTGCAAATTAGTTTCGTTTGGTGTAATGGATTCCGTGATCGTTACAGTGCGATGGCACTCCTCTGGATCTGGCGCACGGTCCCTCGCTTCAAGGAGTCGCGTTGTTAAACATTCCTTTCACCCACGGAGGATCCAACCTGTGGGGAGAACATCACACGAAGCACCGACTGGGCAAGTGGAAGAAGCGACCGGACAAGGAACTCAGCACCAGCAGCTTCAACTCTATGGACCTGACGGACGCCATTCAGGGTCGGTATCCTCGCGAAGATACGTTCGAAAATAGACGATCCAGGAAGTAGGATCCCTATTCCAACCCAGGGTGTGCGTAAAAAAATAAGTACCAAACGACTCGAACGAAAATTCCAGACATAGGAGACAATCTCATCGAGGTGATAGGCCTCGAGAACTGCCTTCACATGGGCCAAGTGAAGACCGGCCTGCGAGATTCGGGCAGACGACTGGCGCAGTGCAGCAGCGTCACCATCACCACCACCAAGAGATTTCCCATGCAAATCGACGGGGAGCCCTGGATGCAGGGACCCTGTACCGTAAGCGCGTTCGTTCCGCGACGCTCGCCTCCCCGTTGCGCCGAAAATTCATAACTCGTCGTTTGCAGATCCATATAACGCACAAGAATCAAGTGCCGATGCTGATGGCACCTCCACCCGACAAGAGCAGGGGCTTCTTCCGATTTCTGAGGAGGTGAATCTTCCCAACGAGACGCCGGAAGGAACGGCCCTCCTCCCGTCTCTCCGTCTAGTCCTAGCCATCGTCCCGTTGGTCTCTCTCGTATTTCTTTATTCGTTTAAGCTTCACCGGTGGAACTTAGAAGCGCAACGTGGGCCCCGTGTACGCGCGTCCATCTCGCGCGCACTCGGCTCGTCTCCGTTTCGGCGAGTGCCCGCCTTGCGTTGCTTCGGTATATCTTCGTGTACAGTATTTCGAGGAGAGGCCCCAACTTTGGAGAACCCCGGACTCGAGCGGACCGGCCGCACCTGCAAAGTCGTGGCCACTTCTTCAAAGGGTTAACTCAGCCGTAGCTTTAACGTCGACGTGATATTATCGGTAGGTCCGCGAAATCGAACGCATCGCTCGGTCGGTGAGGCGGGGTGCTCCTTCGGCAGGGTTGCACGTTTCGCGGTAGCGCAGCTATAACGCGAAGTGACCAAAGTCGCGATCGCGTATCACCGCCGAGGTCGAGAAGACCAAAGGCCATTTTGTACGGACGCGCTTAGCCACGGAGGAATGGCGATCGATTAACCGGCAAACCCGTTGACTCACCGATCGACCGACCAGTTATTTATTTATTTTAACTTATTTAGATTAGGTGACCCTCCATCGAGATCGGAGCAATACACCGTAAGCATATCAACGGGAGAGGCGATTCGCCGATCGCCGGTTGCGCGCGTCTTCCGGGTCTCGAGAACTCGAAGAGATCCTCGGAGGGCGTCGCCCTCTCCTCCCCCCTGAAACCCGGTATCCGAAATATCGAAATATTCGTTACGGTCCGTCCGCTCGCGGGAGCGCAGTTCATTCGGCGAAGTCGTCGGTAGGAAAGGAAAACGTTCTTCCGGATCTCGAATCGAAGCGTATGGAGAAGCGCGCGGTAAATAGGCAGGCCATGCGGACGGATCCTGGGTCGACCCGGACGCGCGATCCCCTTGCCCTCCCACGGGGAGCATCGCGCGTTCGCGATCCAGGATCCGAACGGCTCCTTTTCGTCGATTGCCAACGAGGAGTTTAGCTTTTTATAACGACTCTCTTGCGAAGTCTTCCCGTCGCAAATTGCGGGAAGACCGGTCGATTTTGCAATTTCCCCCGAATTCGGTAGGAAGGCGACACCGTCCCCCTCGCTTCTTCTCCGTTAGTCGGATCGCTTAGACGTAAGAGTGACGTAGCTCATAAATTAGGCGAGTCAAGGAATATTACGCTTAACGGAAGAGATTACCTGTCATTTTAGGTCGAGCCGAGGGACTGTCCGAGACTCCCTGGAGGAAATCGCGCACTTTTGCGATCGCGCGTCGAACCCCGAGGAAATTTGTAAGAAATAAGCGGACTGGCGCAGTGTCTCGATGTGCTTCTCGTTTCAGCGCTATCGTAACGGAAATAATCAAGCGGATTAGCCACTCCTACGTGGAAAGTGCGAAGACCAAGAGCATTCGACGGAATTTTCGACCCGGATGAAAGACCATTTATAATACGTAACGTCAGCCTCGGCGAGCTTCTCGGAACGCGTCGTCGATTCGTTGCACCCGAAAAGAATGCCTGCATTTCGCCGGGTAGACTCCGCTCCGACGGACTCGAGGGAAAATGAAATTTCTCGCCCCTCGCGGAATGGTCCCGGCCCTCGGCTCAGTCGTCGAGGATTGTCTCGAGGGATTCCGGGCGGAGCCTTTTAGCGGTGAAATTGCCCGACTAGCGGAACTTACTGCCACCTTTTTGGGTCTACGTACGTTTGAGCACTACTGCCATTTTCCAGGAGTTTAGGCATATACGACGCGGATACACGAGACCTGTCCATAGTGTAAAGGATGAAACAATAAAATGTAAATTTATCACAAGACGTTTTTCATCGAGGGGGTACCCCATCGAACCGACGTTCTCGTCCGCTATCGTTCGGTCAACGAAGTATCCAGACTCGACGGTCTTCGATCCAGCGCCATTTCTTGGAAGCGTTCGGGCCCTCTTTAATTCCGTACCGGCTCGGCGATTCGACGACGTTCCGAGTTGACGGGAACGGGGACAGGGAATTGGCAGGAGATGCCATCGTGCCCCACGTGGGTGGAAGGAGGGCGTTCCTCGCGGCGTCCATTTTGTTCTCGGGGGGCGGCGTCTGCACGGTGAGAGGTTCTTTCCCTTCTACCTCTTCCCTCTTCTCGGGGTTCGAACCTCGGCCAAGTCCGCAAGGTGGAGGGAACACGAAGGAGCACATTGCCGAGTGGAAGTCCGCGAAACGCGCGCGCCTTGGGCGGCTCTCGTTTCCACCCGAAAGCCGAAATTCCGCCCACTCGCGCACCCTCCTCGACTCTCGAGAACCAAATCCGCACAATTTTCCCCCGATCGTTCCGAAAATCCTCCGGTCAGTGGAATTTCGAGGAACGTCGAGGAACTTCGACCCGTCGAGATGACAGGGAAATATTTCCCGAAGGACGGCGCGACATTTTGGAGAAATCCGCTCGGTTGCGGAAGTTCCCTCACCTAAACCCGGAAACACCTGCGGCTTGGAAGCTGGAAACTTGAAGAAACCTGTCAAAATGGAACGTTGAGAACCTCTCCGCCACGAGGACAAGGAAGAAAAGAAGAAATTAGGAAAATTTCCATAGCCCGGATCGGCATCGCAGGGATCGCGGAATCTGCCAAATTGCGCGGTCAGCGGTGGTCGCGAGGGTCAAGGACCGGAAGAGATGTCGGCGAGTTCGTTGAACGGGACGGAGATCCGGATCGGGCGATGTTTTCGAAGCTTGGCAGCTGCGAACGTCAAGGTGAAGTAACGACGATCTCCGTGGTGGGTCGGGTCGATTCGCAAAACGATCGGGCGAGTCGTTAACGGAGCGGCCAATGGGCATCTACATTGGCGGCTCTCGTTTCCACCTGACAACCGAGGAAGATTTCGCGGCCGCGTCCGGAGCTCTAGTTTGGTCCGATCGACTCGGGACCGTACAGGAGCGGTCGACGTGTGTTCGGGATGTGAACGTTCCCGCGAGTGAGTGCCGAGGAATTCGAACGGAGGGACCTCGCTCGAACGCAACGTGTCCAGGTCGATGTCGACGAAATGGAACTTTTTACCCATGTCGTTCGAACTCGCGAGACGTTGAAAAGGGGTTGACAAAGTTTGCGGAAGACGGAAATCGCAAGTGATGGATTTAAGTACAACACCGAGACGTCCGCCGGAAGGCGTCGGCGACCTGCAGAAGACTCGCGTCGCGAAGAGCGTCTTCAGCATCCGCAGCTTGGTCGACGTGGAGGACGCCGAAATGACGCCCAAGGAGAGCCAGCTTCAAGGTATGTCGATAGGAATTAGTGATCGTTACGAATATCGATACGTTCGATGATACTCTCGGATTACCAAAGTCTCGAAGCCAAGGTGTCGAGGCCTTATCGGATATCTCCAATGCCAATGAGATCTCTTAATCCGCGTAACCCCTCTGGTCCCTTCGCTCCGCATCGAAGTTACTTTTTATCCAACTAAAATTATTATCCCTTTGCTTCTTGGCAAATCTTTCCCTTCCCACCTCCATCGTTTCGGTAAATAAGCCACTCCCGTTATATTTTCTTTCAATTTATTTTAAATCCGAATAATCGAAACGAGAGCCCTTGCCACGAAGGGGGAAACGAAGCAACAAAAGATTAACGTTCGCGTTAATTCGCAACGGCGAGCGAAAAAAGCGACGTTTCGTGCCGGAAATGTCGGACCGTTCGGGCGCGCACGCGGGACAAATGGAGTCCATTTTCCTGAAGTAACCGAACCCCGTTCCGCCATCTCGTCGAGTCGGATAATTAGACGCAATAAATAACGTGGAAACAAGGGTTGACTCGAGTTAGGGTCCGCCAATGGGGTTGCTTCTCGAGGGTGGACTTTAGGGGCTCGATCCCCGCGAAATGTGCCCAACGAAGGGAGACTTCCGCCCACCGGGCGGACGTTTCTTTCTCGTTCTCCGACGCGTATCTCTCTCGCCTATTATTTGTTTCTCGGTTTGGAGGAAATTATCCGTTTCGTTAGAAACCGAATCGATCCGACGGAGGAATCTTAACCTTATTGCGTTTCCAAACGCAGCTCGGAGGTAATTTGTTTCAATTTGTTGGCATTTGTTGCAATTACGAGGGTTTTCTCGTTATGGTCGCGATCGGTCGTTAGTCATCGGCCGCGTTCCAGTTCGCTATCGTTGAACGATTATCCCGGCCGCAATGCGGAGATTCCCGAGACGCGGCGACCCCTCCGTCCTGGACCCGAAGTCCTCTTCGGGATAACTTTTTCCAGGAGGCAGCGCGCTAATGGCGGCGGGATACGTGCGGAGAAGCGATCGCGCTTAAAAGGCGTCGTTGCGTTCCACGATCGCGATTTTGGTCCGATCGAGGTTTTCTCTCCGGTGCGGAATTTTCGGTTCGAGCACCTTCGGGTAGGTCCCGGCTGCGTTTCGCCGCCATTAGCCGAGTCTCCTCGCGGAGGCCGCGTTCTAATTTGGCGTCGTTAAACAATTAAGGGAGTTACAAAACATCGCTCTCGAGACAGAAGGAGAGCCGCCCCTCCCGCGCGCGTCGCGATTACGTCTCGCCCCCGCGGCCCCCGCGTCGAGCTCTTCCGCGAAAAAGCTCGTAAAAGCCGGCTTAATTGCAAAAAAGGTTGCAAAAAGGAAGTCCTCCCCGCCCCACCTCGGCCCCGATACGCGCGCGCTGGGCACTCGTAAATAACGTCTCGCGGGTTTTACGCGTGCGCGGTCCCGCGGGCCTGATTGGTCGAGCGGCGGGGCCGCTAATTGTGTTTTATTGGCGCCCCCTCCACCCGGGTCCGCCAACCTCCGACCGGCCGCTCTCGCGATCCCGGCTAACTAACCTCTCCTCCCTTGCGCTAACTACAAACGACACGGTTATTAAGAAAGTTTACAGTGTACCCGAGGTACGCGTAGTTCCGATCCACTCGTTAGGCCGCGTTAACGACGAGCGCGGAATTATACGGACCCGAGGCCCGACGCTCGCGGACGGAGGACGCCACCGCCGATACCGATCGCCCCATCGATCCGCCTCGAGTAATTGCCAATCGCTAATTGCGAGCTCGTACGCCTCGGAAGGGTTCCACGCTTCCGATGCGCGGCTCCGCCGCGGAGGTGGCGCAGAGGGCGCCTAAAATTAACGCACGCCGAATAGGGAGACATCGAGCGCGTTCTCGTCCTCCCGGTCGAAAGACGAGCTCGTAATTCGCATCCGCTTCCGCCGCCATGACCGCATCGCGCGTCGCCATCTCGTGGCTGAGATCGGAACTCGCGCGTCGGGGTGGGGGTCGGCGGCCACGGCGCCATATGCCGCGGCGCGATAAATAACCTCTGTTTTTTACCCTAATGAAATTTCGTCCCGGCAAAAATGTAAACGGGCCCCGAGACCCCTTTCGATCAATTAGGGCTAATAAATGGGAAGTCGGCGAGGCCGGCGAGGCCGGCCAAGCCGGCGGGGAGGTGCCGGCTCGGCGGCCTCGGCCGCGGTCCGAGAGCGGCCGAGACGCCTGCTCTCCCTCCCCCTCTCTGTGGGTTTATGCTGTTAAAAATGTAAATATCTTCTGGCGGCTCGTTATCGAATGTAAATACGACGGGGGAGGGCCTCTCCTTTGTTTCGTTATTTATCGGAATGCTCGCCGTAGGTGCGGACGCGCGAGGAGAGGGGAGGATCGCGTCCTCTCGCCCCGAGACGTTTCAATTATTCCCGACCGGACCGGTCCCTGCTAACGCGGCGCCGAAAGCGGCCCGAAATCCCCGAGAAAATCCTCCGCGCGGAAACGACCAACCGCCGTATCCCGATTGCCCGGTTTACCGCGTCCGCGGGACTTGTCCTCCGTTTGCTGGGATCGGGGGCAGAAATCGACCCCCACGGCGCGGGGGTGGACGGATTCCCGCAATTAATCGGGCGCGCAGAAACGGACCCTTCCGTCGGATCGCGATCTTTCCGTCGAGCGTCCAGCGGATACGCCCACGGCATCTCGGCACTCCCGGGGGAGCGCGCGCGCCATCTGCCCGCGTCGCGGAATGCCGCCGCAATCGGACCGACCGGACGGACCGCGTCGCAAAGTTGCGTGGCTATAAATAATGATGGCTCGTAAAACGCAGTCCGTTACCGGTTAAAGAGTCTCGTTACGACTCCTCGCCGAATGGGACTTATCCGGCCCGTGCGTGACGCCGAGTTTCGACATCTCGCGTCGCGCCCTAATTGACGGGGCGCAATTGCCGAAGCCGGAAGCTGGGGTGCGTTGTCGCTGCCCCGGCGAATGGAGACGTAAGACCGACGAGTCCTCTACATCTTCCGCCGAGTCGGCTCGTTTTCGGATTTTCCCTCTTTTCCGGGACTCGAGGAGAAAAATGCGCGAGCGAGCGCGGGCCTTACGGCACCTCGGCGTCGAGGACACGACCACGGATCCGTTTTCTTCCGGTCGGCAAGAAAGGGTCCGCGGACGCCTGGCGAGAAACTAGCGTTCTTTCGGAGCCGATTGCGAAACCCTGGTAAAAAGGACGCGGCGCCCCGGGGAAACGGTGCGTACGCTCGCGGGTCCCTTACGTAAACGGGCCCCCGAGAAATCCGTCTCGGTCCCGGAAAAATTGGCGCGAGCGTGCCCCGCCTGTCCCGAAGAACGGAGTCGCGCGGCCCATCGAGAGGTCCGTTCTCTCCAATTGTTATCGGCCTCGCCTCGCCTCGCGCCTTTTAACTTAACTCCGCAAATTTACCGGAATCCTGGTCGGGGACAATGGCCGCGATCGGAATCGGGGAGATAATTCCATTCCAGTAAACGAATCCGCGCAAAGATGTATGTTCTCGTTTCTCCTCGCCCGATGGAATTTATTTTCATTGAAATTATT